GACAGCCGAAATCCCGATACCGGAGCAGTACATATGAGTCTAGGTGTACAAATCACTAAATTCATCTTTCCGTAAGCGCCTAGACATGCACTTACTTCAGCTTGCTTGGGTCTATATATATATATACTACTGAACATTTTTCTTCGAGCGTGATAATATTCTTCACGCGTCACATCAGTAAGAATGGAACTAACGGATAAAGTGAAATACAGTCTCAGGGTACTTACAAGGAACTTCATGCTGTTTTGTATGAAATGTTGATACAGCAAGTGCTGATAACTTTGTAAGGCTCCTCTGGTTTATATACACCTAAATCCTGTACTTCCGCTATTGGTGTCCTTTCTCTTCCTTTTGTTGTTGTTCGCGCTTTGCATATGCTACCATCAAAATTCCGCGCCGTATGGTGCAATGACGAACTGTGTTCTCTTCCTGCATAACTCGTAATTCCTACATCATCGTAGCAAGACACAATGTGGTGTACAGTTCTCAGCTGAGATTATAGCTAATGGACACTTAAAACACGATGTGTTCCGCTTGCAGGATTGGCTGCTGATAATTTGAATTTATATTGGGCTATAATTATGTGCCGCATAATTTGCCTAAGAACGAAACCTTCCTTAGTTCAGAGTCAGTTTACGGCTTATAATGTCATTACTTTTATTGGGGCATTGAAACCTAGGAGACAATGAGAAAACAACAAATATATACAGATTTTTGTGTGCAAATCTCATAAAAAGAAAAATTGGAGGGTCGATAAATATACGAAGGTCAATATATATAAGTTATAATGCACATTTCCGGTATCCTGTATAAAAGAGTAAAGCTATCCCTGTAACAGGCCGTGGAGGCCCATAGGGTTGTGAGACGTTGAGGCTCCCACATTATCTAGACAATCGGCTCACAGATAGCGGTGAGATTGTCAGCCTTATACTTCGACCGCCATTTACCCCCAGGAAGATTCCTGGTATTCATTTCTGGTCGACCTCGGGGCCATGGTGCGGTTGACAAGAGTAAGTCAATTGAAAAAAAATCAGCTCATCGGGAATGGCACCCATGACCTTACGGTGTGCAGCATAGTGCCTCACCCAACTACGCTACCGCGTGCCCCCAGTAGTGCCTCTATATAGAGAGTTAAAAGTAGGTGTATGGACAGGGCCGCGCCATAGTTCAAGCGGTTAGTTGCTGGCTTCCCACCGCGGAGGTCCGGGATCGATCCCGTGTCTGGTCAAGTGGGTTTTGTGGTGGACAAAGTGCAGCGGGGGCCAGTTTTCTCCGGGTACTTCGGTTCCCCTGCCAATCTTCATTCCATCAAATTCTCTATCACAATCACCCGGGGCAGGCTACAATAGGCCAATCAGTGGCAGCCGTGCCGAGTGGACCCAGTGGGACTCCACCCCCCCACTAAGGGAATTAAGAAGAGAAGTGTATGGACACATTTTTTCCCTCTCTCTGAAAACTAATGTAGAGAACACTGAAAAGTATGTACCTGCCTTCACTTGTACGTAACTTGGTTACTTTGTACGTTGAGCGGTGAAGTAATTAAAACTGCGAAACGATTAATGAAGCTGCTCAATTTGTAGAATGTTCCAAAAATGAAAAATGGAGAGCGATGAGAATTTTGTTGTCATGGAGGTTGTGACAATGTATTTTTGTTAAAATTCTCTGCTTTTCGTCTATGTATCATGATAAATACGGCAGCGTACGACACGAATTGTATTATAATCAAACCAACGTCATATTATTAAGGAATTTAACAATAAGAAAAATTAACGTCCTACAGTGAGAAACACGTTCCAATTACACTGACCCCAATATATAGCCATAATAAACGCACATCGAAAAAACAATTTATATTTCGGATCGCAATTGAAAGAACTCCACTGAAATCCCTCAACGATAAAACAATGCAGTAGCCTACACCACAACACTGCACAGACATCAGACCACGCAGCAGATCTATATTTGTCGAGTAGTATTAAGTTATCATAATAAAATATTCGTATTTGACATTTTAACATTTCAATATTTCAACTAAGACGAGTTAAACGGCATTTTATTAGTGACTATAAAAACACACCCATATGCAATTACTGGCCAATATAGGGGAAAGAGCAGATAAATTGAAGGCACATGTAATCATAAAATACCTGACAATGGCCTAAAGGCTGAAACATGTCGTTGGACTTTTAATGTGTTGTAATGTACAGTCCTCGTACTATTGTCAGGCAACGATCGAAAAAAGGAATATACGTTGCTTGGTAACGTCTTCATAACCACGTTCCCAAGGAAACGAAGCGCACACAACAATATATTTACAATGGAAATGGAGTGTTTTCGGTTGTGTCCGCCCTCAGGCAGTATAGCGAGGACCTCAGACCGGCTGAGAGAGGTCATGTGTGGAGTGTTAACAAGAAGGTAACGTCATGACACGGAAGCTGAAGAATTTCCACTGTTAGAAGCCGTTGCCAGGAAACGTCTAGTGGAGACTGTAATAGAATGAGGAGAGTAGTCCCTGTGTTACTGCTCTGTAAAATGTAGTTCCAAGTAGCTTGTACAAGTGGTCAATAAATCTATTCACCAACCCATATCACGCCTATAGTCACACACCCTTAAATACGTGAGAGTATAATAGATCTATACATATACTGTGTTAACGAGAAACAAAATAATTAATTGAGCTTCATTTAAAATTGAGTGATATATGCACAAAATTAAATAAACCCCACAATTTTAAGGAGACCACCAAGCAGAAAAATTTATGTAAACCCATTAGTGCTCGTAATGTCGTAAACAAAAAATACAAAGGCAGGCATTACTTTTTGATTATGCCTTAATTTTATTATTTACATGCATTTTATCCACAGAATTATCAGAACTCAGCCATAAATCTGCTGTTAATTTCTGTCGCATCTGCAAAAAAAATATCAAAATTTACAGGGTTATTCATAAGTCCGTGAAACAATTTAAAAATTCACAACAAATAAACTATGTATCGGATAATGGTAATTCTTACGCCTATAGAGAATGAATCTCTCCAAGTTTTTTTTAAAGCCTCCATTGCCGGCTCATCTCAGGATCTTCGCAACCGTATCACTGCTGCTGTGGCTCTGACCAACCGTGATATGCTGACACGGGTGTGGGACGAAATGGATTATCGCATAGATGTCTGCCGGATC